TGGAGCAAATCCTAGCCTCCTTTCTTCTTTGGTTCGTCCTTTCTCTCTCTGAAATCTGAAGAAGAAGGTGCTTTCTCACACTTGGGCTCTCTCTTTCTCTCTTCCTTTCACTTCACGTTATATACTGGGATCAGGCTCAGTTCACGGCTTCAGTTCACGGCCTTGAACTCCTCAACGCGTCCATGAACTCCGAGTGTTGTGCCAAAACATACCGTTTCAATCACTTGAGTTCACGGTTTGCACTCAAAGTTCACGGTCTTGGTGATCGTGAACTCACTCGGCGTCAGTAACCTCTGAATCCGCTCTGGACGCTTCACGGTTCATGGCTTATGGATCCAGTTCACGGTCAGTCTTAGGAGACCGTGAACATGGCCTGAATCACCCTCTTTGCCTGGTATTTGCTCATTTTCTTCCAACTTCCAACTCCAGGCCTGGTTTCACCTTTTAGATCCTGAAACACGAGAAACCTAGTGTAAACCCACCCTTTTAGGAGCACAAATGTCACAAACGCCCAAGGAAAACAAGGATAAAATGTGTACAATTAAGCCCGAATCAAAGGCATTATCATTCCCCTTGAGAGGGAGATGAAATTGGACCGCCTCCATTATCCGTTTAAGAAGCGGTCTGGAAGGCTCAAGAGAATCGATATCAGCATTCCAGTCTTTTTTGCAATGTTGTCAGAACCGAACCGGAGCATGACCCGGTAATGCGAACGACTCGCACTTTTAGTGGTCCAACCGGCATTAGACCAGTTTTAAAACCATTAGAGAACCGGTACCTAATAAACGCTATCAGTATAAATAGTGGACATTTCTTAATCAGAGCTCGTTTCTTTCCTTCTAAATTGTGAAATGGAAATAAGGATTCAGTTTGAGATCCCGACGTTTTTGGTTTTTTTCAATTTTCTGCAAAATTTTTAATTAAATTTAACAGCTGAATGACAAAAACCGGACGAGCGGCTCGAGCGGTTAATCGCCTCGGCCGCTCATCAACCGCTACATAAAACCGGAGCGGCTTTTAGACTGTTTCGAGCCGGTTTTGTGACCGGGTAGGGGTTTTACCGGTTGGGCCGAGCGACTCAACTCGGCTTTAATAACACTGCTTTTTTTGTCACCAACAGTGAACCCGATAAGCGGTTCAACCTCCCCAGAGTACCATTTTCCCTTTGGATGAGCAAAAAAGTACTCCTTAAACCAAGGAGAATCTAACTTAGGCACCCCGTGCACAAAACCAAAGCGGGTCTCCCGTAGGGATGGCAATGGGTCGGGTTGGGTCGGGTTTTGCCAAACCCAAACCCATGGGTTTATCTTTTAAAAAAAACCCGGGGTAAAACCCACTGGGTTTGAAAAACTCAAACCCAACCCAAACCGTTGGGCATCCGTGGGTTCATGGGTACCCACGGGTTTTGTCGTAAAAAATTTACAATTACAAGTTCTTATCAAAATTAAAGTCAAATATCAATCTCTCAATACAAATTATCCATATATAAAACATCATTCTAGAAAATTCAAGCAAATCACAAATTAACTATACAAATTGTTCAATACCAATCTAGAAAACTCAAGAAAATTGAAGCAAATCACAAATTATCCATAAATAACATGTTTAATTGAAAGCTTCTTTCTTTTAATTAAGTTTCTTTACTCTCCACTTCCATAACATCAACTTCATTCTACACAATTAAAAAGAAAAAATTAGACATGTCTCCACAAACATAAATAAGATTAGTTGTTTAGAATATTAAATATACCGAAAAAATTAATAATATAGGTGGGCGGGTACCCACGGGCCGGGTTTACCTAAACCCAAACCCAACCCAACCCGATAAATAGTGAACGAGTTTAAACACTTTAAACCCAAACCCGACCCAAAACCCGTCAACACGGATTTTACCCGCGTTGACCGGGTTGGGTCGGGTGGGTACCCGTGGGTTCGGGTTTTGTTGCCATCCCTAGTCTCCCGCCTATAACATGACCAACAGTTATCTGAACCGCGCATTTTGTATAACAAGCAAAACGCATCAGAGGAGGGAGTCTCGCCGAGTTTCTCACAAGCAGCTCGAAAAGCAATGAAGTGAAAAATAATGTCGGGAGACAAGCGGTCCAACGTGCACCCAAGATAAAGCAGAGTTCTCGTCAGGATGTGGTCAAGCGGAAACGTTAAGCCCATCCGAACGTGCTCCACTTGAATAGGAATCAATCCTCCAGGACAAAAACTGGACCTCCCAACGGGGGGAGGAGCCGCATAGTCCCATTCAGGCAGAAAACCATGTTTTTAAGCTGGCGGAGAACTTGATGAGGCTTGTAAGCAACTTCGTTAGGGGGTCCTTGTTGGTAGGCGGTCGCCGGAACTTCCTCACCCTCCCACATATCTTCGTGAAAACACACACGATATGTGGTATCGTTGATAACCTGAAATGCCTCCACGGAAAGCACATAAAACACCATCAGGGATGGTGACTGGTTCGCATTATCGATGTCCTAGCGGTCATCAGCAACCCTGCCCCCACTATTTGAGGAAAGGACAAACACGGGCGCATCATGCGGCGGTTTCTGCTCGGCCTCGGAAGATGTTCTCCGCATACCAGTGAAAGTACATGCATCGGTTAAGCAGTCCTTGTCTATCCCTAAAAGGCCATAACCAAGACCGCCTAAGTTTTTCCTATATCTGGTCGAATGCTCGAAAACCGCGCACTAAGTCTAAATTCTCTACATCCCATTCTAGGTCAGACGCAACGAAAAGGGAAGGAAGATAAACATACCTTGAGCGACTTGTTTAAATCCAGAAGACGAACCGCTAGACCCGCCACCAGTCTTTAGGGAAGAGTGAGAAAGGCTGGTGCCCGCGCTAGAGGTTCGGACCTCGCCGGAAGTTATGGCGGCAACAACGTCGCTGGAAAGATTTTTGTTCTGACTATCTGAGGGAGTAGTGCTCTGAGAATCGATCACCATTTTCAACCATCGCTACTTTCTTCGCTCGTTTTTGGAATCGTTTAAACTTGGTAAGGTAGTTTGCTCCCTCCGACGAAAGGAAGGGATGATTTCGCAGATAAAAAGAAATGGAAAATTTGGAGCAGCAAGCAATTTTGACAGAGTGTCGACAAGAACTCGAAAAGAAAGCAACGAGGAGGAAGAATGAAGAAGAAGAGTGAATAAAAGGTATTAATAAGAAACCAAAAAAGAGGGGGGCAGCGACGCAACGGTTGAGTGACCGAGGCAAGAAATCCTAGTCTATAAATTCAAAATATCTGGCAGGTGAAACGACGTCTGGACTGCCCGTTGTCAGTGCTCGATATTGAAGTGCCGCCACGTGGCTAAGCATGTAGAAGGTAATGAGAACCGCAAGGAGTAAGTCGCTTCGGGGAAGTTCTAGGAGACCACATTTGTTTGCGGAAAAGTAGAAGAAGAGCACCTGGTCCTCTGAGTGGAAAATCTTCGTATCTCGTGCGACTAGGGGCATGATGTAGGATAGCAGTTATATGGAACGAACCGCTCAACATGAACGATAAGAAGATTATAGCCGCCAAAACCCGTAGCTTTTCACAATTAAAGGGCAATTGTTGGTCCCATAGTTGAGCGGTATTGGATTCTATGCCCAATAGGATTAGGTAGGTCAGGCCCATAGGAGGCCCAAGAGGGGAGCACCCACGGGGAAGGAGCACGACAGGCAGTCGGTCTAGGGACAAGATATTATAGACCGCCTGACTTAAAGCACTGTTTGTGACAGGGGAGGAGATCTTCAGAGATACTTACCTCGAAACAAGTATGACTAAACATTAATTACCCGCCGTAGGCGGTCCAGGTAAATAGTACATAGCTAGGGCACCTGACAGAGCATTTAATGCTCTAAACTCCACCTAACTAGGTACTCCCACACCAACATTGATGGTAACTCAAATACTTGCGCTCTCACTAAATACACACATATTCTTACTTCTCTCTCTAACTTAAACATCAGAGGTTGTCCTGAGCAACCGTTCACAGACCCTTGTTTTACAGAGGTCAGGACTCAGGAGTATACTCACCGTTAAGAACAGACGCTTCGTTCGTGCCTCATCAAACCGCCTAGTACATCCTAGGCTCAAACAGTTGGGCTCATCACGTTTGGACTTTAGAACATTTATTTTTGGGTGAGTGCAATTATTAAAATATATATAATTAATTAGTTATTAACGATCACAAACTGAATTGCATCATAATTCGTATAATTTTTCTCCGGGTCTGGATCCCATAAGTAACCATCAGGTGAGTAACCCCATGCATAACCCAATAAGAATCCGTCACATCAGCGCCTCCTTCTCTCTTCTCGAAAAACCTTTAATTTTCCTTCCCTTAATCTTTAACGGACGATTTCTCACTCGTTTTAACTCGGAATTTTTTTTTTGCACAGTTAGATCAGATTAATTGTGCTCTTCAAAATGATATCCACTTTGATATATTTCGGAACAAAAAAAAAATTTGTCAGTTATTACCAATCTATACCATATGGTATTAAATAACAACATACCATATGGTATGAAAAATATCACCCCATACCAGGGTGGTATAGTATGGTATGAAGTTGGTAACGAGGTATGAAATTTTTTCACTCGGAAAATTTTGAAATCCAATAGATCATGATTAAATCGTTCCTTCTGTGCAAAAATTTCTGAAAACGACTAAACAGCGAAGGAGATACCATATGGTATCGAGTTGGTAACGAGAGGTATGAATTTTGTTTTTTTCTCAAAACATATTGAAAATGAATATCATTTTGTAGAGCACAACGAACTCGTTCCATCTGTGGAAAAAAAATCCAAGTTAGAATGAAGAAGATATGATCCAATCAAGAAAACTAGAAAAAATAAATTTCTTTAATTCTCCATCCTTGGATCTACAACTACTTAAAAGAAGGGTCTAGATTTGATTACTCATAATTATTGACCTTAAGATTACTCACCCTATCTTGAGCCGTTTTCTCAAAAAAGAAAATAGAATAAAATATTTCGTATCAACGGAGCGCAGGCCAGCGGCCAACATAAGATTTAGTCCCTCTCCCACAAGAGACGGGCAGAAGGAGAAGTTCATCGTCTTTTCCTTCCAATAAGCTTCCCCCCAAACTTTCGGCTGCTGAATCTGCGAATCTCCCGTGTTCGCTCAACCATGGCGTCGATCGCAAGATGGAGGCCAGCTCTTCTTATACTCTTACTGCAATTCTGTCTTTTGGTTCGCTCTCCTGTGCTTGCGATCTCACCTGGGTAACGCTTGTCTCTCTCCGTCGTCATTCCATATCCTTGGTTACTTCTTTCTATTCGATCTATTATTCTACTTCGTCAATAGCACGGCCTAAAAAAATGTTAGGTTTTCCAATTCATGTTGGGCAGTTTGCAATGGCGATTTTGTCGCCGGGGCTATAGCTTGGCTCTTACCGATTGAAGAATGAACTTTAGGGTTTAGGTTTTGATTCACTTCTGGGAATATAGAGTTGTAGCTGATGACCTTGTCTTCGTTTCTCTTGTAGGTCTGTCGATGGTTACACTATCAATGGTCGAATTAAGATCCCAGGTATGCTTCGATTCTTTTTCTCGCCCTTTTTAACGACATATCACTGATATTGGTTGATTTGTATAGCTCAAAGATCATTTGAAGCAATAAGTACATTGAAGCTTACAACTTTATTGCTCGCATAAATTTGTCAACAAGTAGTTTAGAGCAAAGGCCAATGGGGACCAATGCTTAAACAGGGCAGAATGGTCGCATGGACTTGGTATCTCAGTGAGTTTTGTCTGAATTAGCTGGGGAAAATACTAGCGACCTTGCTGTAGCTTTTCTATCCTGTGTTGAATGGTTTTAAGTGCGGCTGTAATGTAATTTATGTACCAACGCCTCTTATGATCACGTTTACGTGCTGTTGTGAGACCCTATTTTGAATCAAGGTTTTTTAATTACGGTTTTAATATAGATGTTGTGCTGATACACCCTTTTGGAGCCTAGTAATGTGATTGATGTATTGATAACTCTTAAGTTCATAAATAATTATAAGAGGAGAAATAAAGAATGTCAATGGATACTATGTGTACAAGAGTGTTAATCTAGTTAGTAATTAACTGAATGACTCGTACGAATGAAGTTGAATTTGATGATTTGTGAAAATGGCGGTGAAGATATTGTTGTTACTAAGCTTAGTTTGTCGAACATTAGGATGCTGTCATGCTGATGATGCTAAAGTGCTGTGTGCTTCATCAATCTTTATTCCGCACTTTAGCTGTTGGTTACATAAGTCAGTGTTTACATGTCGTCTCTTTCCAAACATGATCAGAAGATGCTGAAGTACGAAACCTCTATGTCAAATGTCAACTGAGTTGGACTTGATGTTTTTATTTATTTATTTATTTTTTTAATAACGGTGAAATTTATTTCATATATGTGCAGTAGCAAAAGGTTTTGGTGCTCCTGTGAAAATATCAAATGTCAAAGTCATACTGAATGGTGGCCAAAATGTTACCTTTTTGAGGCCTGATGGATACTTCTCATTGTATGTCTATCTCCTTTGTTTTCTTACCCTCTATACTTTATTGTGATCATTGTTGATCCCTGGTTACTTTTCAAGCAAATATCATTCAACTAATTAACTTTTAATCTCCTTTTTATTTAAAATCTAGCCTTATACGTTGTAAGTGATACCAATAAATCTTCTTCCTTCTGTACAGCCATAATGTTCCCGCTGGGACACATTTGATTGAAGTGTCAGCAACTGGCTATTTCTTTTCTCCGGTGAGAATTCTCATCTGAAAGTCGTTTTGCTTTCCATCATTTTTATGTGGAGCCCTTCTCATGGTGAGACTGTCTAAAAATGTTTAGGTCCGAGTTGATGTTAGTGCTAGATTCCCGGGAAAGGTTCAGGCAGCGTTGACTGAGAACAGAAGAGGTCTTACTGAGTTGGTTTTGGAGCCATTGAGGGAAGAATATTACTATGAGGTTGTTATAGTGATGTGAACATTTCTGACTCTCACCTTTGTTTTCTTAAGTATGTGCTGCTGATTACTGCTTTTCTTCATCTTATTGCAGATCAGAGAACCATTCTCCATAATGTCACTTGTCAAAAGCCCAATGGGACTGATGATAGGGTTTATGTTAGTTGTGGTGTTCTTGATGCCCAAATTAATGGAGAACATGGGTAAGTACCTGCTTTCAATTTTCAGCGCCTCCTTCCCCATATATGCCTTCTGGCCTTAATGGAATTGCATGATAGATACATCTAATCGAATATTCCACTGTACCCCATTGATGTTTGCTTTTAATTCATTGAAACTTCAGTCGCAATTACCACATAGTTTGCTTCGACTAATCGATTATTCTCAACATCTCAATTGATGTGGCGCTGAACAAACCGTATTCTCTTGCATCTTGAAACAGATCCTGAAGAAATGAAGCGAGCGCAAGAAGAAATGAGGAACCAAGGCATTCCCTCGCTGTCAAATTTCTTGCAGCCAGCTGCAGCAGCTGCTACTGCTAGGAGTGGTTAGAGATTTTACTTCCGAGTTCAATCATTCATGTTCCGATTCGGTACTGGTTGATTCCAAAGTTAACTATTCTACGAACGTTCTGTATTTTATAACATTGCAAAAACTTGTTAAGACACTGGGAATGCAAGAAACTACTCTAGAATAGCGTACACTTGTCATCTTCGAATGAGTGTTTTGTAAGGAATACCAGCCATTATTCTAATGTTGCACAATAGAGACTTGGTGTAAAAATGTTTAGTATGATAGTTCCATGTTGGGTGGGTCGAAATTCGAATAGACTTTGAAGATTATTGAGTTTTGTCGCTACAGACTTTTTCTTTTTATTATGAAATGGTCATTCACCCACGAAACCTAAATTTCTTTGTTAATTGTTCGTTATTAGTATGAACTTATTTTGTAGTAGCAAATATCTGCTTATAAAATGAGAGGCAATTATGAACTCCCATCTTCGTGATTAAAAGGACAAACATTATTTGTTACTCTATTGGAGGAAGTAAATATAAACACCCTTTTGTGTTGTTATACCATTCGGTCACGTAAAGATGCTCTCTTAAGTTAAAGCACAAACATAACAGGTCATTATATCGTAGGCTTGAACCTTTTCACAGAAAAAGGAAAAGGAAAAAGCTGGGCTGGCCCAGATTTAAGCTGCGCTGCCTAACTTGATGGGCTAGAACTATGTTGGCCCAATGCTAGGTAAGCTGTCCCGTCCCGTCCCCACTATCGGCCGCTTCCTTTCCTCCAAAACTTAACCAAATTAACCTCTGCAAATTTTTGAAGGAATTGGATTGTCGCTCTCTTATTTCAATTTGTTCTTCACTCCACCGGCGCAATCAACCATCCAACGACTTCCCACTTTTTTTTCCAAAAAAGTCTAGCTCTCCAGATCTCTCTGTTGGTACCATCGATTCATTTTTTGAGCGCGGAAATCTGTCCGTGATCGGAGCCGGCAGGATCCAACGATGGATAGCTTGCCGACGACGACGAAATCTGACCGGCGATGGAGATCAAAGAATCTTCAGACCTCCAAACCTTCTCTAGTAATGGCCTTCTTTTCTTGCCTCGCTTGGCTCTACGTTGCCGGCAGGTTAGTCCATCTCCCCTTTCCGACTCTCCTGATCATCATTGCAGAGAATTTATGGCATTCCACAGAAGTAGGGCATGTAGTCTACTCCAAAATGTTTCAATGTGTTTGCCGATGGTGTGAGCTGACGAGCGTGCATAGAAAAATTTGAATCCGATTCTTCCAATGGAACGCTCGCTCTTGAATCGCCGATTATGTATTTGTTTTTTGATTCATGGCTTCCTTTCATTGAAATTCAATCAGGTTGTGGCAAGATGCGGAGAACAGAACATTGCTCACTAATCTTCTTAAGACGAATTCCGCACAGGTCTATTTCCATCTTTTCTAAGATTATGGGGCTCGTTTTAGTCTCATCTCCCTCGCTGTAGTTGTTTGGTGATCTCGTATTCTGTTTCTGTTGTTTGGATTAGAGACCAAAGGTGCTTTCGGTGGAGGATAAGCTAGCCGTCCTTGGATGCAAGTACGTTCAATACCTTATTTTCGATTTGGATGGAGAGATATTTCTTCGCTTTATTGCTGATAACTATTGTGGTTATTGAATTGTAGGGACTTGGAGAGGAGGATTGTAGAGGCTGAGATGGAATTGACATTGGCCAAAAGTCAAGGATACCTCAAGAACCAGTTGCCACAGTCCAAGTCGGCTTCCGGCAAAAAGCTTCTGGCTGTTATCGGAGTTTACACCGGATTCGGCAGTCGCCTCAACAGAAATGTCTGTCGAGGGTCTTGGATGCCAAAAGGTACATGAGTGATGTGAATTGCACAATCCATCTAACTTCCATGTTCTTTGTTTTTGTCATTTTACCTCCTTATTATTGATCCTTTTTGTTGCCTGTCTGTGCTTTCGCATATTACCTACGTCACAATTGTAGAGAGAAATGGAAATGCTGTTGCCTTTCCAAGTCACTAAATTTGTTCATCTGTTACTACTTCTGGTTGATTTATAGGTGATGCCTTAAAGAAGCTGGAAGAGAGAGGAATCGTGATCAGATTTGTCATTGGTCGGAGGTTTCCCATTCTACCTTGTCCTCATTTTAGTGTACATATATTTTGCCTTTTATTGCTCCTCAAATTGCTTGGTTCCTTCTTGGGTCTTCCAAGGGTCGCTATGGCTTATAGATGTTCTGGGTTTACATATAACGTTTTGTTTCAAAATCTGCAGTGCTAATCGAGGTGATAGCTTGGATCGAAACATTGACGAGGAAAATCGCTCAACAGGGGATTTCTTAATTCTTGTAGGTGATGGAATTTCATGCTTTTCTCATTCAAGTGATTCTTTATCCTGAATGGCCTTTTTAGTTTCTGTAGTTTAGCCCATTTCTGAATAATCTTCCTAAAATTCTTATTTTTTCTCTATATTTATAACAAACATTTAGGTGCATTGAGGATAATGGTCAATGCGTAGAACTTCTGAAAAATGCTCATGATGTTATTTGATTTGAAACATTTGGGTTTGGCTGTTGCTATGGATGTGATTCACCTCGTAAAGATGACATCATGATTTATTATTTGTTGTCGATTTATCAGGAAGGTCATGAAGAGGCTCAAGAAGAATTGCCTAAGAAAGCTAAGTTCTTCTTCAGCACTGCTGTGCAGAACTGGGATGCTGATTTTTATGTCAAAGTTGATGACCAAATTAACCTTGATCTCGGTATAGTTTCAATCCGTTGTGCTAGCGCGACAGTCTATTTACTCTACTTTTTCCTTCTAAATTAGTTTTCACCTTCATCTATGACAGAGGGATTAATTGGACTCCTGGAACGCCGCCGAGATCAAGCCAGTGCTTATATTGGATGTATGAAGTCAGGAGACGTTGTAACAGAAGAGTATGTGCTTCAGAGAATCCGAGTTTGGCCTAATTGCTTTTTGCTTGAATCTTTTTAACAACCAATATTTCATTTGAACTACTATATCCTGTTGTTATGCAGGTAGATGGAAACTTAACTGAAACTATGAGCCCCTTTCTCACTGCATATTCACTTGATATAATATGTTGCATACAGACATAGTAATACTGTCTACCGTGTTCTCTGCCTAAGCTTAACTCTTTTGCCTATTTGGATGAATTTTTATTTGGCTGATGGTGTGACTTTGACGGGTTGATCATATTTGTAGTCGTTTGATTTCCACACTACATTGAGGCTTGGTTCTCGCTTGGTCCAAACCTGCCTTAAATCTCTAGCTAGTGAATCCAGCTCTAAAGTAGTATTTTATTGTTTTTCAGGGGAAAACAGTGGTATGAGCCAGACTGGTGGAAATTCGGGGATGAGAAATCGTAAGCATCTCCGATTTCTCAATGGATTTGTATTAGCTACTCCACCTTCCCGAGTCCCAATTCTGAATGCTCAGACCTTCAAGACTCATTGCGGATGTAGAAAATTATATTTCAATTGCTGATAGATATTACATTAGGGGGGATAGATTGATTATGTTTGACCTTCTGTCGTTTCAGGTACTTCCGCCATGCAGCTGCTCCACTTATCATACTCTCAAAAAATTGGGCTCAATACATTAACATTAACAGGTTAGTTTGGATGCTAGTATGCCACTGCTGGGTTTTTATGTTGTCCTCGTGTTGGTAAATAAACTTCGATTGCACAAGGAGTTCTTACTTTGCTTGACTGAATTTTAGAGCCTTCAGAACAATTGTTGTGTGAGATAATCAACTCCAATGTTTAGTTGGGCCTCGTTTGATTTAATTTTTATCTTATTAGTAGAAATTTGTAAGGGGGAAAACTGAATCGAAGGACATGATAGAAGTCGTCAACTGCAATGTTAGCACTTGTGTTATTCAACTTGCACCATAACTTAAAGCATCCTTGTTGCTTGCCAATTTGTTTATGTTAGAGATGTATCTAATTCCAAATACTTCTGTAAACAGTGCATCTCTAAAGACCTACGCTCATGATGATACATCAATCGGATCTTGGATGATGGGTGTCCAAGCAACATACATAGATGACAATCGCCTTTGCTGCTCTAGCATAAAGCAAGGTGAATGTTCTTCGATCTTTTTGTTTATCTTACGCTGTCCTTCATTACCAAGTCGGCCAAATCCAACTGTTTTGATTTGCAGATAAGGTCTGTTCCCTGGCCTGATCATCAGAGGAGCCGGGTTCCTCCTGTCTCGTGATTCTTTTGCTTCGGCGTACTGGGAGAAGCTGTTGTCGGGATATCCTTCTTGACAACATCTATTCATTGGATCCACCTCCATTCAGGACCGGTGGATTTCAGACCGATTCTTTTTACACTCAGAGGTACGCCAGCTGCAGATTCTTTTGACGGTAAGCAACAGGCTCAAACTAGATTTTTGTATAAATCTAGTGTGCCGGTTGATTGCATTATCTAGGCACGGAATGAAGTTGCAAATTACAACAGAGGGTTGGTCTTTGAGTAGAATCCCCAGAGTAGAGTTGTTGATTGTGTGTCGACGAGGCTTCTTTTGGTTCTCTAGTTTGTTAGTTTGACATCAGTTGTACATGTATCTGCGGAGCATTCGAGCCTGCTCAAGTATTTAATAGGTTAACTAACTCATCAAAATGACTCGCAAACACTCAAAAGGCCATGAATCAATGAGTATCGAAGTGTATGACTAATGTGTAAGATTCCTTTTGATAACCTCAAGACTGGAGACTATAGCTCCATCATTGGGAGGAGCTATGCTTACATTTAGACGGAGTCCATGAAGTTGGTTCAACGCCTTGAAATTTCTCAAACGTGAACTCCTCTTAGAATCTTTCTACAGTATCACTTGCGAGGGAAGGATAAGAGGATGCCGACCTTCAAGAAGATTCCATGTAGTTCTCTCGTGCGAAGTTGGTTTAAAGCTTTGAGTTTTCTTAGAATTTCAACTGTTCTTAAAATCGTTGCCACAATACCAATTGAGGGGAAGGGATAATCGATAAGAGAATATTGTAATGTTGATTTTAGGCCGACTCCATCTAGTTCTCTCATTTCAAGTGGGTTCAACGCCTTGAATATTATCAAAATGTGGACTACTCTTACAATCGTTTCCATAATATCAATTGAGGGGAAGAGATCAGAGGATAGTTTAATTTTTACTATTTCGTAAATATTTCTTGTTTAAATTTTCATTTTTTCCCCAAAAGTACTCAATAGTTGGTTAAAGTTAATAAACATTCATGTGACACGGTCAAACAATTGATTATTTTTCACGTCATACAGACGAAAAGTTAACGATTTTATTATGTATTGTGTTTATAAAAGGGTAATGACTATTAATTAGCTAAATATTTTTTTCAGATTTTTTATTAGTTAAACCTATCGAAATACTAAGAATTAGCCAAATGTTAACTTTTAGTTAGCAATTTTGTTAGTAATATTGGCTTGCAACATGATACTGACTTGGAAAAAACACATGAAGGTCAACATTTCAAAATTTTAGTATTTTAACTCGGGAAAGTTAATTTGCTAACTTGAAGATTCGTTAGCAGATACTAACTGATATCCAAAATACATGAACTAGTATCCAAGTACTAAAGTATCTAGAGACGAGAGAGCATATTATTCATTCAAGGTTTGGTAACTTATATCCACCATGAATCAATTATTATCCCAAATTCACAAACTAATATCTAGACAACACAGAATAGTATTCATACATCACATAATTAGTATCCAGATAACACATAAGAGTATTCATATTGAATACTAGTTGGTTGATTGTAGATATTAGTTGGTATCTGCTATCTAGATACTAGTTTGTGATGTTTTGAATACTAGTCTGTGCTATCTAGATACTTTAGTAAAATCAGCAGACTTGGAAACTAGTTCATACATTTTGGATATTAGTTAGTATATACTAACAACTTATGCAGTTAGCAGAATAACTAGGTTGATTTTATCTAAGAAAAGATTTACAGGGGCTAATGTTGAAACCTTTCCTGAAGAAAATATTATACTTGCCACTGAAAATTATTAACGATAACATAAAAATGGCTAATATTTTGATGCATTATGAAAATTTTGGTTAATTAATAACATTTTAATAAATTTGAATAATTAAAAAAAATTTAAAAATTAGAATAAAAAATAGATATTACCCTTTAGAATCCTACCACTTATTTATGAAGGTTCTCCATCCAAACATACTTCATTCAAAATTTCTAGCTCTCTCAAAGAATTTAGAGAGGATATTTGTGTCATGTTAAATGTTAAAAAAACACCCTATGCATAAACCCTAAAAAAGTGGATATAAAGTAGTCGTCTCTCTAAAAAACGTCATTTCTTAATAAACTAGCTTATAACCCGGCCCGTTGGCCGGAATGTTTATATTTTAATATTTATATTTTTATGTTATGTTTAAGTCTATTAATTCGATTAAGTTTATTGAAAATCATTTGTTACATAAAAAATGAATATATAGGTCGAACATTCAGGGAAATACCCTCATTTAAGAATGTAAAAATGTATTATTATCCCATTTTCAAAATGATAATTGAGCCCCATTAAAATGATATTGGTTAATAGATTGTACAAAAATATATAATATAAAAGCTCATTGGAATTACCACACGATCTATAGATAGTTTGAAACTGAAATGAAACCTCACAATCCCACATAAATGGTTCAAAGCTCTCCTCTATGAATAACATGCCACTAATAAAAAAGAAATGGATTTATAAAAAAAAACATAAATGAAGAGTTGTTGATTCAAGTAAATCATATGCTAACAACTCAACTAAAAGGAGACCATCAAAACTTGAGAGCAAATGACAAAATTAGAGTTACATCCAATATACTAATTGACTCGATCAAAGTAATGAGGTACAAAATTAGACACTCCTTATCTATAGGTTCCAGTAATTTGAATAGTGAATCGACCTTAACTTTAGTAAATCAATCAATGATTTCTCGTTTTAACATAAACATAGGTTGTGGTAGTTGCAACAACCATAACACCTAAAGATCCAAAAGTTTCCACTCTTCGTTGTACAACCAACTTTTTATCCCCTCCATCTTCAATCTCTCGACGTATATGTTTTAAACCAAAATTCAATTTCTAATCCTCCTTCTGCAACTCCATTTATGCTACTTTGATAGACCTTCTCTCCATGAACCTGAATTTCTCTTTCAATTGAGTTTCTTGTCAGCTTGATCTCCAACTCTCAATCCTCTTACTTGTATTTTGAAACACCCTAACCCGGCCGGGTACTAATTTTACCAAAATGCCCTTGATGACTCATAAACCAAAATAAGAAGCGAAAGACTTGTAAAAAAATGGAAGCTTTCCATAAATAACCATAACAAATACTGAAGTGAACTGAAATCTCTTAAAACAAAGCCCTAACACTTGGGCAAACCTCAACCATAGAATCTGAATCTGAATCTCCAGTCACTACTCATAATAGTAAATCAATAACTAAAACTCTACTTTGTTGTCTGCTCGGATTCGATCTCTGGCACCTCCAGTGGCGCTTGTACTATCCTCCTCTAGCTGGCTTGCGTCGAACAGCTTTCTCGATCTCGCTGCTCACTAACTGCTCCTCTAGCTGCAACTATTGATCTAATTCTCGCTTATTCCTTTACTAAGTCCTGGTGAGTGAGATGGGGTCAGTCTACGCCCTTACGTTTTAATAATTCTAACACTTGAATACTTTACTTAAACACTTAACTTTGACTAGTGGAAGTTGTTTGTACTTCCAATCTTAAAATCTTAACTCTTAAACTTTGGGGGAGTTGAAGTTACTCTCCTCTCTTAAAGCTCAAATCTTGACTTAAATACTTGACTGACACGGGGATCCCTCACTAGCTAGTTCGGTTGCCAACTCATACGTATGAGAAGACTTAAACTTAGTTAGGGAAGTCGTAACGATTCATCCCCCTAACATCTTAAACTTATCGTGGTGGCTCTTCACCACGATTCTCAAGAGCATAACTGCTGCTCATCTTAAAAGTCTCAAGAGCATAACTGCTGCTCTATCTCAAAATGTCTCAAAAGGCAACGTACTGGCGCTAGTGACTAAAAACACTTAAAACGACTTCACCTTCTTGAAGGTGAGTTACTTCTTAAAAAGAACTTGTTTCTTTGACTTAAACTTACTTGTAAGTAAAGCACACAACAACATAAAACTGAAATCATAACTCACACAAATCATATGACATCATATAAGCATACAAAGGCAAGTACGGCACATAGCAATCAATCTCAAAAACTGAAATACCGTAAGGCGTAGAATTTACCCCTTTTACACTCACCTTAGACATTCAAAGATTCTTCAACCCGACATCCTTTCGAAAAACCATCCAACTGTACCTCCACTAGTCTCTACAGACATTGTGAACATATAAACTTCTTAACCTCACCACGTAAAACTAGTTAATTCAATAGGAATCCTAGGTTGGGCATATATGTGCCACTTAAATCATTCCTCCTCGTGCTGTCTTTTGCCCACCTAACCTAGTAACCTACGAGTTTGTATCTAAACCTTACCATGCCAACCATTCTTAAGCCCAAACGAACACTAATTAAGAGAAGATAATATATTACCTCCCAATCTCGTTGGTCCACGGAAATCATCTCTCACGGTCGTCCACCTTGGCTGTAGCGTATAGCGGCAACCCTGAGATCCTCCACCGCATTCTTCCATACACCACACGCACTAATTTCCCACGAAATCCTTAGGAGCCTCCTACGCACTGCCGATCCCTTACTGCGACCAATCATCGTCTGCATCGGGATGCCAATTACTCTTTGCTTTTGAACTTTCTTTTATGTTCGTCTTCTAGCTTGTTCCTCGCACGCTAGCATGTATCCCCATTCATCTTCGGCGCCGGTGGAATGGCAACAAAGAGAAAGGCGACCAGAAGGGCTGCTGCTCCAAAAACTCCAATCCAAATCCTTTCGCTAATGGACCAAGGACCTTCAATTCCTGGTGCAAGAAATACCACGCCCGATCGATTTCCTTCCCTTTGGCCGAGATTAGATGAGAGAGCGGCTGTGTTGTGTCTTTTTTTTGTTTGGGAGGGTTTAGTTTTACGTTACGTATATATTGTCTAGGTGAGACCGAATGAGAGGTAGGGTTAGGGTTTAATTGTCCGGGGTTATTTTGGGAATTTCACAATTACGAATGAGTTTAATTCGAAACTCAGTTAACATTCGTAACTTCCTAGTTTTATGTCGAAACTCGACTCCGTTTGAACCAAGAGTTTACATTTGTAGTCCTAATCGATATTACGGTGGAATTTCACAAATTTTGACCTAGGGCATAATTGTCGTTCTGGCTTTATAAAAGGATGGGGTGTAACATATTTGGCCAACTCATCTTCCTCGGGTCAGTTTTAATAAGCTCGTAAAACTAACACTCATCTTCAATTCCATCAATATGCTCTTCTCTTCCGTCTCCGTCTTCACCTGCTCCAGTTCACTTCCATGCCCTTCAATATCCTCTCCATTTTCATTAATATCCTGATCATCTACCGCTTCTCTCTCTTCAACTGCTCCGTTTTTGCTTCTATGTCTTTCAATACCCTCATTGGTTCAATCACTACCCTGACCAACTGCCTCTTCACTGCCTTCACTTGCTGCAAACTACTTCCATGACTTTTTATACACCTTCCTCAAAATCACAATCAACTAACCAATATCAATCCATGGCCTTGGATCAGTTTTAAACTCTCTATGAACATCTCAATACCACAAAGTCTAAATCTAAATATTCTTTCAGTTAATTATGAACTTGAGTTTATCAAAATCTAATCCACTCCTTCTAAGTTGGAATTCTCATTCCCCAAGCTCATTTTTGGTTCATTTGATCCCACATAACCATGATATTATACCTATAACTAAAATAAATCAAAGCATTTTACGAAAAGAAAACGAACCATGAACTTTACCTGCTACCAAATCCAAACACAATTTCTTCCTCTCACCACTTCCCTTCTCAAACCCAATATCAACTTTTACTCCAAGTTCACACCCCCAACTCCCAGTGTGTTACGTGAAAGCTTAATTTTAGCAATCATTATGCTTGCAATTAGATTAATGGACACCAGCAAGCGCCAAAATTCCACCAGACGATGAGTTGTCTTCACTTTGAGTTTTTCATAAAACTGCTTGCCCGATATGTTTATCAGTTTGGAGGTCATATTTAAGTTCTAAGTTGAACTGGCAAATTTACCCTTAGCTACAGTTAAGGAGAGTGCAAGGAATTTGAAATGCTCAAAATCTCCTGAACTGCTATATATTATAGAAGGAAGTATTTTGTCTCTTTAATTCAAAAAATACATAAACATTGTTGCAGTCCAGTTGGTTAGGGATATTGACTATCAATCTGAAGGACTCGAGTTCAAGTCTTTGTAATGATATTTAAGTTCTAAGTTGAACTGAAAAATGTACCCTTAGCTACAATTAAGGAGAGTGCAAGGAATTTGAAATGCTCAAAATCTCCTCAAGAGCTACTATAAATTACAGAGGGACGATGAGAAAAGTAATTTTGATTAAAACTTAGTATGTTATAAAAACTTTCGTAGTGGATATAAGGTAGCCATATAATTCACAATTAATTATTATATATTTTATTTAATAAATCATTTAAAAATATAAAAAACAGTGAGAATAATGTAAATTTTTATTACAAATTTTCAGGCATCTAATTAGAGCTCTCCACTTAGCAAATTTTCTCTCCTTAATTCTTAATACCCATTTCTAAAAAAAAATCTCTATACCCTAACATTTAGAAAAATTATATTTAATGTGATTTGAACAATGATATTCATTCCAATATGATTTAAACTAAAATATTTGTCCTTCTAAGAACTTGGTCAAAGTCACCATTCATGACAATGATACATAAGTACGAGGAATTTTATAATGCTATATAGTATTGGTGCTATAGTTATTTTTCTTCATGGTACAATATGAAATTGTACATTTAACGTTATGGTACAACTTCAGATTGTACCTATACATTTTGTACAAATTCTTTTATGGTACAACTTGAACTTGTACTTTTATTTGATGGTACAGCTTCAAGTTGTAAAGTTGTACCATAACATAATGATACAAATTCCTTTATGGTACAACCTAAACTTATACATTTAATGTTATGGTACAACTTTAAGTTGTACATTAAAACACCGATGCTATATAGCATAATAGAAGTGCTCTCATAAGTACACCAATATAGTATGAAATTTCTAAAATCTTAGTATAATTGTATTATATCGTTACTAAATTGTATACATATCGCTTCCATTTCCATTTCAATTTTAAAGTTACATATATTAAATAGAAAATTTATATTTAATATGATTTACACAATAATTTTTGTTCTGATATGTTTCAAATGAAAATTATCCTTCTAAATAACATGGTTGCAGACATGTGTTAGGTTTTTTTTTTTATGATAATGATACACAATTACACCAATATGGTGTGGAATCGGTAAATTTTGAGTATAATTTTTGTACAATGATAGAATAAAACTGAAATTATTGTGGTTTTGTTTTTGTGCCACAATAATGTTCGGCAATCCCATCCATGTGATGCATTGTTGATAGACTTGCAATTATTTTTTTGTTTTTATAACATCCCAAATTGAAGTTATTTATAGATCACATAAAATATATAAATAATCAATTAGGGTATAGTTTAGAGCGAAGGCTTGGAAAATAGAATATTGGATATCTCTGATTTGCTCTTACAAAAATGAAATAGTAAGTATTAGTAGGTATTAGATTTTTTGTTGTATTGCATATTGTTAATTGGGCAACCATTATGTGGCATGCAAAAATTGTATGTTTTGAGTAATACATCTCATTTTCTTCCATGGATTAGTATGCATACCAGAATATCTTTACACAGCTCGAGAGCATACTTATAATCAAGGTGGTAAAACCTTCTCAATTTCTCATAATCAAATGATATTCTCACTATTGAAGAATCGTCAACATTAAAGCCAAAATTGTATTTGATACGACAACTCAATAAAGGAGTTGGATCTTCAGTCATGTTTTTGGGCTAATTATCATAAATGGTCACTAAACTATTTTCTTTGTACAAAACGGTCACAAACCTTTAATTTTGCACGTTTTAGTAACATATGTTTGGACTAATAACAAAACGGTAATTCCGTTCATCTCCATCCAAAAGTCCGTTAATTTATTCCAGTGAGCATATCATATCATCAACAAATAATAATAATGAAATTAATAAACCAAACCAAACTAAACCCACCCAAAAAATTATAAAATTACAAACCCAATCCACCAGGGTCTTTCAATCTACCAGAATTTCAAACACAAAACAATAAAGAAATCGAAAATGAACTGGAACTCTGGAAGACATCGAGATTCCAATTTCCCATACCATCCAAGAAAAGGGCCCGATTCACGAAATTGTCTCAAAACCACTCCTCCGTCGTCGCGTGATTTCTTCCCGATTCCTCCTCCATTACGACGCCACAAGGCGTTGCAGTAGTCGCGACGGCGGTGGGGGAGGAGGAGTTGATCCTGCTCTTAAACGAATCGAGCCGCGAATTCAACCTATCCAGAGCCTCCGCCCACCTTCTCCTCAGCAGCTCGAGGGCAACACCATTACCTGGCAGGTGGAGGATTGCAGCATCTTCCACGGCGGCGAGGCGAGGAAGAGAGGGCCTTGAAGAAGAAGCGGAGCTGCGATCCATTTCGAGAGCGGGGATGGAATTTTATTGGGTATAATTTTTGGGTTTGGTTGGGTATAATTGGTTTGGTTTATTGATTTTTTTTTTATTATTTGTTGATGACATGGCGTACTGATTGGAGTAAACTAACGGACTTTTGGATGGAGATGGACGGAATTGCCTTTTTGTTATTAGTCCAAACATTTGTTACTGAAACATGCAAAATTGAAGTTTTTTGACCATTTTGTACAAAGTGAATAGTTTTGTGATTATGTATGATAATTAGCCCATGTTTCTCGGATGTGACTCACAATTGATTTTAAGACAAATACTATTTCTCATTTTGATATGATAATTATTGACTAGAAAAGACAAATTAATATTTTCACAATGACAACAGGAATTGGACTCTACGATTCAAATTTGAAAATATTATAAATGTTGTTACTTTTTCTGAAGATCATGTTATTTGGGTGCAAATACCCAAACATGTGATTAAGGATTGACAATGTTTGTTTCAACACCGCATAGTATATGTTTTTGAGAAATTCAGATGACATGCCAATTCAAACAAATTGGTGATCAAGTTCTAATCAAATACACATTCCAAATTTGTGATGATATTCCAACAATATTAGCTTATAAGCTTGATTTCATGAAACCAGATGAAATTTAAAATTTTGCTTTCATGAAACAAGAAAGAAACTATTGACGGCAGAAACAAGTTTCATTAATAACGATAAATGCGAAGTTATTGGCGATAGAATTATAAATTGCTTTGTATAATTGCTATTGTTATTTATGCTATTTACTAAATATGACCGTACAACGGAGGGACAAATCTAGTTAGAATATACAGTATTGATGCTCAATGGATAGCAGATAGCTTACCTGGCAGTCCGGAAAATTAAAGGTATAAATAAAACAGACGACATGAAAGCCGCTTGGCTCGGAAAAAAGTGCGAGGAAAAAAAAACCATGGCTACTCTGTTTAAGTGCCACAAACCCCTCTGCTCCTCTATCCGATTCGCCTCCTCGTTCCCCTGCTCACCGTTCCGTTATGCCCCCAACCGCACTCGTCCTCCTCGGACCATTCCGGTCGCCGGAAAGAGAAGACAATTTTTCCCCTTCTTCAGCTCCCTCACTTCATCCCTTCCGGTACCCAGCGATTACAACTCCGGTCCAACCGGCGCACCGAGTCCCCCATCGGAGCTGTGGCTGCACAACACGATGACGAAGAAGAAAGAGCTGTTCAAATCGAAATTGGAAAGTAAAGTTGGAATGTACGTCTGCGGCGTCACCGCCTACGATCTCAGCCATATCGGGCATGCCCGTGTTTATGTGACCTTCGATGTGCTCTACAGGTCGTCCTTTTTTCACTATCTCCGGTCAATTGTGTGTTCTTTGTGAATTCCGAAGCTGGTGATTGATTAGGTCTTTGGCTTTGTGGTTTGGAATTAGGCAGATATCTGAGGCATTTGGGATATGATGTCTCCTACGTTCGGAATTTCACGGATGTTGATGATAAGGTGAGTTTACTGGAACTTCGATCCCGAGACCAAAGTTTGCTAAGCAGTGAAAGTGGGAAAGAAGAACGTATAAGTTGGCCGGCTACTGAATTTGATTTTAAAACTATGTAGATAATTGCACGAGCGAATGAAGTGGGGGAGGATCCAATCAGTTTGAGTAGAAGATACTGTAACGAATTCCACCAGGATATGGTTTCTCTTCATTGCCTGCCTCCTGCTGTTGAGCCCCGTGTGTCAGATCACATGCCTCAAATTGTTGACATGATCAATACGGTACTTCAGCAGTGAATTTTTAGTAAGAGGGGTCCTTTGTATGTTAATCAATTGTGTACCACCATTTACAAGCAATGGTATAAGCTTCAATTGCTTGTTCTTTATGCATTTGAAGTGTAACCATCACCGCACGCTCACATTTCTAAGTGAAATTTGTCTTTCATAAAGACATGTACTTTACTTACTGTAGTTAGATAACTTCCCTTCAAACAGCGTGGTCCTTTTTCTATCAGTTACACATCATCTGCAAGTGTTTTTATGTATAGTAACCATTTCTTGACTTGTTATCTTATCAGATTCTTGATAATGGCTGTGCCTACAGAATTGATGGAGACGTCTACTTCTCTGTGGATAAGTTCCCACAGTATGGACGTTTATCTGGAAGAAAATTAGAAGATAACCGAGCAGGTGAGAGAGTAGCTGTTGACGCAAGAAAAAGGAATCCTGCTGATTTTGCTTTGTGGAAGGTAACAGTTGTCTTCTATGCATGTTACTTTGCAATAATCCCTTCTCCTGATATTGACAGGATGTTATTTAGATGTGCCTTTCTAAGTTTCTCTTGTAAGAGATCTTGCTGGGCTCTTATTGATTCAAATGTGTGCGCCAATAATATTTTTTTTTTTTTTGCAATGCTCGTTGTTTGTGCAGCATTCCTTAGTTGATGGGTAGTCTAATCTTCTAAGTTTAGTAATTTGTACAAGATAATATATCTATGCTTTCCCTCATAATTGGTTTTCTCAATCTATATTTGGCTGCATTATGCTCTTTTGACATTCTCAGTCCGCGAAGGAGGGTGAGCCGTCTTGGCAGAGTCCTTGGGGGCCTGGAAGACCTGGATGGCATATTGAGTGCAGTGCCATGAGTGCTGCTTATCTGGGTCATTCCTTCGACATACATGGTGGAGGAATGGATCTTGTGTTTCCGCATCATGAAAATGAGATAGCTCAGAGTTGTGCTGCTTGTGGAGATAGTAATATAAGCTATTGGGTGCACAATGGGTTCGTCACAGTTGATTCAGAGAAAATGTCAAAATCTTTAGGAAATTTTTTCACTATTAGGCAGGTAGAGAATTTCCTTTTAAATGATTTGAACTTTTGGCCCCTAATGAACTTGCAATTATAGTGATTTTGAATAATCACACTGCTAATGCTTAAGAGTATCTTTTTTTGTTTCCCAGGTTATAGATCTATACCATCCCTTAGCAGTGAGGCTTTTCTTGTTGGGCACCCACTACAGATCTCCAATAAATTATTCCAATGCACTTCTTGAGAGTGCTTCTGATCGTATCTTTTACATTTATCAGGTGCTTGAACATGCAACCTTCTTTCTCTATTATATCCGTTATGTCCTGGATTTGTGGCCTGGATTCAAGCGCTATGTGGTTCCATGCTGCGATGTTGATAATGACCCTTTGTCCCGTTTTGTTTCTATTTAGTCCAATGTTATCAATGGGATATAAGAGACAACCATGTTTCTAAATGTCACTTTAATTTGACTTGGGTTGTTCATTTGGTTGCAGACATTATATGATTGTGAGAATGTAATCAGAGAGCAAGGTGCAGGTTTCAAGGACAGTGCGATTCCTCCTGATACAATGAATTGCATAGTGAAATTCAATGATGTGTTTGCAGCCTCAATGGCTGATGATCTCCATACCCCTGTTGTTTTAGCTGCTATATCCGACCCATTGAAAATCATCAACGATATGCTGCACACACGCAAGGTAATTGAGTCTGGACTGTGCCACAAACATCTCAGCCTACTTGGATGTGACTTTGTTTTTCAGGAGATCAGTTCTGCAGAATTGTCCCGACTTTGTCACTTTGTAAACAGAAAATTATTTCTTTGTCCTGACTTTGGCCTCTATGTCCCAAGCATGAGTAAAAGTTAAAATCTAAGAGCCTCTCTGTTGATTGTAACATTATTTTAATTGATCAACTCAGGGAAAGAAGCTAGCAAAGAGAATAGAATCACTCTCCGGACTAGGGAATATAGTCCAGAAAGTTCTAACCATCCTGGGGCTGATGCCGACAACTTATTCAGAGGTAAGCCTACCATCTTGCGATTAGTGAGGCTGCTCTCGTAACCGGTTTCCATTACTAATTTACGTGAATCGTGGAGCTCACTCGTTCGGTGTATATAGCCCATGGATCTTCTTAATTTCACTTTGGAATGTTTCCTTTATTTCTATTTTCCGGCCTTTAATTATGTCTTCTCAACCACATGGCTTCCTGAAACTTTTTGGGTCTAGGCTTTCTGCACTAAGAAACCTCTCTCTTTTACTGCAAACTGTTTCTAATGCAGGTTCTTCAGCAGTTAAAGGAAAAGGCATTGAAGCGTGCCAAGTTAACAGAAGACCAGGTTATTCAAAAGATCCATGAAAGGACTGAAGCAAGAGAGAACAAAGACTATGAAAAGTCAGATGCCATCAGAAAAGAGTTATCTATTGTTGGAATTGCTCTTATGGATAATCCGGATGGCACTACCTGGAGACCGGCTGTCCCTCTCGACTTGCAACAGCTGGAAGTTGGCACACCTTGATGTTTCCTTCTCGGCATTGAACTCTTTAAGATTAACTGTGCGTCTTGGTAATTCCTTCTAGGTATTCTCTCTCTAATTTATGCATATCCTTTTTTTTATTATCTTCAGTATAAGACTTGTGAAGGTTCTTCCAGGCTTTAAATTGGCATTTCAGGAAGAGATACAACTGTTAGACTGAACAGTTTTCATTCTTGTTCAACTGTTAGACATACAGGCTGGAACGGTTACATTGGCAATGTGCGCAAACACAATAGAGAATGGAGCAATGGTTATTGGGTCCGAAAGTCTGGCCTCAACCGGTTCCATAGAAGGTATAGATCCAGATGTATTATTCACAGCAAGTACTTTCCCATTCAAAAGTACTGTCTGACTGTGTAAATCATCACCACCAGCGGTCAAGTGATATTCTTCCCTTACATGTGCATTAACTTTGGAACCTTTTGCCATCCTAGCGAATTCTGATCTTCGATTCTGGTGGTGTTGCTGAGCTGTCTGAATAGTGATGGCATTTTCAGTCGAAACATGCACATTAGCTATCGTGTTACCGTCGAGGTTGATCAAAAGTATTGTGATTCCTTGCTGCATTCATGAATTTTCCAGTAGCAATTAGTCAGCTTGATATTCACCAATGTGATTCCTTGCTACATTTAGTTTCAGGGTCTTCACTTACAGATTTCTTTGAACAGTGAGCATAAGCACGTATTTTCTTGGTTCCAGAGAAACTAGTGGATAGCACCTTTGTTCCCATCAAACGATGCCATAGCAGTGCACTTAACCAGCAGAGATGAGAAGAATAAGTCTTAGACTGCTGCATGAAGAAAAAAAAAGCTGGGTACTATATTTCCTATTGCATGGTTTCAGGAATCGCTCTCACCTGTAGTAATCTGGGTTTGGAACAAAGGTGGTAGGGTTGAGCAGGCCATAATTCCCTCCGACCAGCGACTGTCGACAGTAAGTTTTCGTGTTGTAGGATGACGCCATTCCAAGCTGATCCAGGTACCTGTCGTTACAACATCAATATTTCAGAGATCCGATACTGTGAAGATGAAGTAAACTCCTCGCAACTCGAATGCAGGCTTAGTACCAGAAACTGAACACGAATGCATTCGTGACTAGATTATGGCCGCTGTTGTAAGCACCACCGGCCTCACCAACCCAAGCGACAGCTGAACTCCCGCTGCTCTTCAAAATCCCTTGCAGTCCACTGAAAGGTGATGAACCACCGTCAAGATACGATGGATCCAGAATCCTGTCTATCAAGTGAGTATCATCACCTGATTTCCAGAGTGAACTCTTAGGAAAATATTGTTTCCAGAGTAAGATCAACGAAATGACTAGGCTCAGGGATGGTCAGCTCTTTTTCTCTTTTCTACAATACCTGGTCCTAGGTTATAAATATGATGAGTGACAACCTGAAGGGAGTTTTTAGGTGTTTTGTTTATGAACTCTGTGAGCCAGTTCGCGTCGTAGAACCCTCCAGGCGCCAAAACTAGTGGCTTCTTCTTCCTCTTCCCCAAACTTGCATAAGTTTTCCTCACGATGTCGTGCAGATTGGTTATATCAGACGCGTACTGGTCTGGAGCCACACTCGTTCCAATTCCGCTCCCACTCAGCTCATTCCCGAGCTCCCACCCGAAAATGGTGAAGTTTTTATTCACGGTGTATCTTATCAGGGCCTCCGCATTGCTAGAGTTCCAAGCTCCTTTTGCAGAACCGTCAGAAGCTATTGTCCTGCCATTCAGAGCATTTAACCCGAATATAACTTCCGCCCTGCATGTCCAAAATGCAGCACCAAAGTTGAATGATACGATCGAGTCTCGAAATGATTTCGTCGATATTGTTATCTTGAAAAAAAGGATGTGTATGGTACTCTACTGTACCCAGCTTCCCTGAAGAAAGTGTTGAGTTCGTCCCATCTTGACAAGGCCAAGCAGCCCTGGGAGAAGCCAAACATTTCTGAGGAGCTCTTGATGAATGAAGCAGTGCAAGCCTGTTGTTGAGTCTCGTATATTACCTTATTTTGTAGGGTACCCCCCAGTCTAATCTTCAGAGGAGAGAAGGCTGCAAATATTGAACCAAAACCAAAGCAAATGAATTTAAAAAGAATCAAGGGACAGCCTTTCATGTCCTGTTCTTCACCCTGCAAGTTATTCTTTCTGTACCTTTGATGGCATTGAGTAATAGAGGGTTGGTAAGGTCCTGCAGATAGTTGAGACAAGGAGGAAATTGTCAAATATATGAATGAAAACCCTACTAGCTGTACTTCCATGTAGATAACTAAGGACAATCAATTTGTTGTGTCGTTTTCAGGCCCAAATAAGTATGTATGATTAGCCAACTCTTAACAGTTTTCAGTCCTGGCACCATTGATAGTTTTCGAAATTGACAGATCTCACTACGGGTTGATACGGTTTGATCGCATATAAACTACAAATATTGTTGTATCTATCTCGAACAACTCAAATGCTTCTTTTTTATTAGTCTTTTTCATATTCTTACATTCGGTAAGAGCGAAATTACCCTAGTAAATTGCATAGTCTATATTATAAAATTTTGGATGTATGCACATGTTGACATCAATTACAAACATGTCAGATCCAATATGTTAGTCTATGTTTACGTCTGTCCATTCAACATATCAATCGGATTATAAAAAGCTAAAGAAGCTAGCTAACTTACACTACATGATTCGTATTATCTTAATGTGTTAACTGTTAAGTACAAACACGTCTTTATATCTTATCAACCATCATATTTTAGATCAAACAAGATTATGGTATATGTGCAGTAAGCAAAACCGCAACAATCGCCCATGCAAGGTTAAGAAAGAGAAGGGAGTTTGTAGAAACCGACCAGGTTAAGAAGAGAAGTTGTTCCCCAGCTACAAGTTCCATAGTCACATTTCTCAGGAGGCCACCAGTCGAGAGTTGCACATATGAAGTCTGCATCTGTCCTCCCGATTCTCGAGCTTCCATTGATGAACACCGTCCCTTCAACAATCCTTGGTCTGCTCTGCAAAGCAACGAAGAAGATCGAGAAGGGCACTAAACTCAGCATCAGGCAGAGCCAGGAGTAAATCAGCAAGCTGTTCATCATTGAAGATGAACCAGTACCACCCATTTTATGATCCTGAAAGTACTGTTGACTGGGATTTCTATGGCTTGCTCTTTGGCACCGTGGGTTGTTATATAAACTATATATGTAAGCTTCATTTGTTGGACGAATGGTGGAGGTCACTGTCTAATTGGGATAGAACTTATTATCATTATGCAGACGGGAATCATTTGACTAAAATATCTCAGTGGCCATATTTTTCCAGTAATGCGACAACTGTTTCTTTGCAAGTTGAGAAGAAAGAAAATGATATAGGGGGACAAGTAAGGCAGACAAGCAACTAAGAACAGAGTAGTGAGATTATACCCAACAGGGGTTGCGAGCAAATAAATAGGAAATCTCGATAATATCATACGAGATAAGTCAGTAAGCTAATGGTAGATTGTGATAACAAAGAATATGAAACTGATGACGGATCTGAAGATCGAAATATGTTCTGTTTTATTAAACCTGTTTATATGAACCATCTATTTTCGCAATAAGTGAAAGGTAGATGACAAAGCAATGGCGTTCAATTTTACTAATTCCGTTTGTTACCATTGTAAACGGTATATTGCAAACTTATTTTTTTCCTTTATTATAATGGCGATCGAATATTACAAACTAATTGTGACTCGTGATATATATGTCATGTGTGCCAAGAACCCTTTTACGAGTCCTTTCCATATCAATCTTCTTTTCTGTGAATTTCTTATATAACTCTAAAAGTTAAGATTATTTGTTGCAAGTCTAACTTCTCACTACAATTTGACTTTTGGCGTTTAGCTGCTTTGATTATTCAATCGTTTAGTCACATTAACACTTGCAAATCCTACTATTGGGGGTGTGTATAGAAGGAAATGGCCCAAAAGTGTGTAGCATGACGAGTAAAGCCCACTTTAGAGTTTAGATATGTTGATGGGCCCAAATAGGGCAAGTGAGAGCAAGGGAAAATAGGCGCATTGATAGAACCTGGATGATTAGGTTCTATCCAGGGATTGAGATTGGGATTGGGGGAAGATCAACTAGGGATTGATCTTGGAATGAACAGAAGATGAGGAAGAAGAGGATTTGTGGTGGTGCAAGAGGAAGAAGGAGGGGAGAGGGAGCTAGCCGCGCGGCGGCCTTGGGAGAAGGGAGGAAGAGTTTCGGCAGAGGGAGAGGGGGGAGAGAGAGAGAGAGTGAGACAATTAGGATTTAGGTTTATACTTGCTTAGTGGCCTAATCCCACGTACAAGTAGTTTATATAAAAATGGACAATTACCAACTGCTACCCGACTTATCAAATGTTTTCCCACTTCCCAAAACAGTCCCAATAATATGAAATAACGAACAACCGACAATTAATCAAAGTAGTAAAATGCAAGTTTCTATCACGCATAGTGACGAACTAGAGCGGTCCAAAATAGTACGAATGGTCGTCTACTGGTAGGCGCCTTGCATGTGTCAGATGGGCTGACATGTGTGTCGGGGCACCTAAGATGGAGACGGTACGGAGCATTAAATGTGGTGCTAACTTGGGACAAGTATGAAAAAGCCTGGGTGAACAGTGAACATTTATAAATAGTATCGGTAGGTAAGCATTTACACAGGTTGGCTTCTCTCACTAAACTCTAGAGTTTGACACTTCTCTCTCTATAAGATAACTGACTTGAGCATTGGGGGATTAACAGGCTTCGAAGCACTCCTCTGTTTTTGTGCAGGTGAGGGGCCCACATAGAGGAAACAAGGAAGAATCTCGGGCGCCAGGTTGGAAGATAGTGAGGCTCAAACAATTGGCGCGCCAGATAGGGGGCGAACCAACGAGAGGCGGCTAAGTGACGATGGAGGGGCCTGGGAGCGAGGTTGAAGAACAAGTTATGGCGGATCCATCCCAAGGAGCAGGATAGCGAACACCCAGTAGGAATGAGGAAGAAGGAAGTGAGACCCGACGCCCGTACTCGGAAGACGCCTCAATCACTAAGAAGGATCTGTTCAAAATCATCGAGGACCAAGATGAGGCAATTGAGATTCTCAAACGGGAAGTGGAGGCGTTGAAAGGGGGAGCAGGAGTGGCGCCTAGCCCAACGTCGAGGAAGAGGGAGAGAGCCATGGAGGTTGAGGGGGAATCAAGCTCACAAAGACGCCCCACCAACATGAGGCACCTGGCTGATCATGGAGGCTCCGACTTTGGGGTAAGGAATGGATGGACGCTAGGGAGCCTACCCCAACAGTTTACGGTGAGGCAACCGCTCGAGAGGAACGTGCTAATGGAGCCGGTCAGTACCAACATTCCCCTACCCCCGTCCTATGATGGAACGACGGATCCTGACGATCACCTGAATAGCTATTTCACTAAGATGCAACTGTACAACAGTTCGGATGCGACATTGTGTAAGGTATTTCCGTCGACTTTTGCGGGAATAGTCTTAGATTGGTACCACCAAATTGAAGAGGGGCGCATAGACTGCTTTGAGCCATTTGCGGCAATGTTTTTAGCCAAGTTCGCAAGCAGAAAGCGCCGCACCCTGACCATAGGAGCTTTGTTCAAGATCAAGCAGAAGGAGTGGGAGACCTTGAGGGAATTCTACGAGCGATGGATACCGGTGGCAATGGCAGTAAGAGATGTGCAAACCCCCCCCCCCCCCATGTGTTGGGATGCTGCCTTGAAGAGTGTACCACTAGCGAGGAGCTTTGCAGGGCGCTAGCAAAGAGAGCTGTGGTATCCACGGAGGATTTGGATCATAGGGTACAAAAGGTCATCGTGTTGGAAGAGACTTTGGCAGCCAGAAGAGCAGACAGGCGCCGAGCAAGAGGATATGAAGGAGAAGTCATGAGGAGGCAAGCACCCGAGCCAAGGCAGGAGTATGGGCCTACGCCTTTCGCACCCATGCGGAGGAACGATCAGGGGCGCCCGTTGTTAAGGGGAGCGAGTTCGTTCACCGAGCTCAATGACACATCAAAAAATGTCCTCCAGTATATGAAGGACAATGGGTACCATATGCGGTGGTTGGGATCCATGAGAGGGCAGCCCAATGAGTGAAACTTGGATCGATATTGTGACTTCCATCATGGGTGGGGACACCACATGGCCGATTGCTATCAGTTGAAGAGAGAATTGCAAGGGATGGTGAACAGGGGAATGCTCAATGAATTCGTTAAGAAACCAGAAGAGAGGGCGCACTGGACATACGTGGCCAGGGTGGAGCCCAAGATAAACTTTCCCCCGCCCCCATTTGAGCTAGATTAAGAGAAGGCGCCTGAGCGGGTGCGGCTCACGGTGGAGTCAATCATTGGGACGATCGACCTAAGGGAAAAATTGGAGGCTAGCCTCCGAGTGAGGACAGCGTCGGTCGACGCAAAGGAGGCGATCCGCGTCAGCTTTAACCAAACGCCTGAGGAAGCCTGCGACCTTCCCTCCTTGGAGGTGCTTGAAATTCAGGGGGTGATCGTTGGATGCACGGTGAAAAGGATGCTAGTGGATACGGGAAGTTTGATGGATGTGTTGTTCAAGGATACTGTAGCGCATATGCATTTGTCTCTCGACTTGATATAACCGTCCAGCTCGGTGTTGATCGGGTTCTCCGGAGCGCCTGCAAAAGTGATCGGACACGTGCGCCTTCCCGTAACCCTTGGGGATGAAGAACAACGAGTCACACATGCCATAGACTTTGGGATTGTGGATTGCCCGTCCCCCTACAATGTGATACTCGGCAGGCCGCTTTTAGCCATTTTCAACGGAGTGGCTTCTATTTTCCATCAGACATTAAAATTCATAGCGCCACAAGGAGTGGGCGTGGCCTGAGGAAGAGGCGTGCCAAACTATGCCTGAAAGTGCGAAGATGTGAGGCCTAGTAAGAGTCAAAGGGTGAATGTGGAAAGCATTGTAGCAGAAGAAGTGCCCAGGGCTGATCGTTAAAATCCGTAGGCGAGGAGACCACCTGAGTGACTTGAGGGAAACGTTCGAAACCATACGAATGCACAATCTTTGCCTGAACCGCCTCAATCCGTATTCGACGCCGAGGCAGGCAAATTCCTGGGCTTCATGATCACAAAAAGGGCATCGAAGCCAATCCTAAGCAAGTCGATGCAGTCATCAAACTCACACCACCAAAGACGCCTAAAGAGGTGCAGGGCTTGGCGGGAAGACTCGCAGCGCTCGGGCGCTTCATACCTAGATTTGCCGATAGGGCCGCCCCGTTCTTCCGAGTGCTCAAAAAGGAGGTGCGCTTCAAGTGGGATGAAGAATGTAACGAGGCCTTAGAAGAATTGAAGCATCTATTGGCTGCGCCCACGATGATGACGGTGCCTAAGGGAGGTGAAGTGTTGTATTTATACATCAAGGGAGGCACCCACGGGGGAAGAAAGGCCAGTCTACTATGTCAGCAGAACAATGAGAACCCATGAAGGCGGTACGCACCTATCGAAAAAGCTGCCCTGGCGGTTGTAACAATTGCCATCAAGTTGCGCCCATACTTTTAAGCGCATACCATTATCGTCCTCACCAATCTACCGCTGAAATTCACGTTTGGCTCCATGGATGTAGCCGGACGCCTTGTCAAATGGGTCGTGCAATTAAGGAGTTCGATATCAGGTATGCGCCTAGGCCGGCGATTAAAGCACAGGTGTTTGCTGATTTTGTGGCAGAAGGAATAATGGAGGTCGAAGGGGGCGATGAAGAGTGTTTGCAAGTCCAGGTGGATGGTGCGGCAAGTCGGATGGGCGTCAGTGCATGAATCGTAATTATCGGCCCTTTGGGAGTCATGCATGAGATCGCCTTATGGTTCAATGAGCTTAAAACCAACAATGCCGCAAAATATGAAGCGGTCGTATCTGGGCTTTGCATGGGACGAGAGCTAGGCTCCCTGAAGGTGCACGTTAAATCCGACTCAACCCTCATGGTCAATCAACTCAATGAAATTTTTGAGGTAAAGGAGGAAGCGCTCGAATCCTATGTCCAGGCAGTAAGAAGAGAGGGCGCGTGGTTTAGGGAGGTGGAGTTCACGCATGTCCCGAGGGAAGAAAATGCCCACGCTAACACGCTGTCAAAATTGGCCACCGCGTTGGACTTTGCTGTTGAAAGGAAGGTTATTGGCACAAAGGAAATACAACATGAGCATTTGATATCGATAGTGAGCGGTGCCAATGAGGACGACGGGTGGATGGCGCCTATAGTACTGTACTTAACTTTAGGAACGGTCCCTGG